CTAACGACCCATTTCTCTGGCGTTTACGAGAATGGTAGTACCGCAGTTACGGACAATTGAAGTTTCTGCCTAGTGGAAAACTCTGAAGACCGGATTTGTGAATGCAAAACGGGTGCTATTGATCCGCTGGTGTAAATCAGTGGATTGCATTTCGTTTGTGACCTCAAACGGTTATTTCTCCGCCGCCATTGCGTTAACGCAAATGAACCGGCGTTTCGTCGTCCTGCAGTCTGGGTCTTCTTGTAATTTATTCTAAGCCGTTTTTTTCTCAGCCGGTAGGCGAAGCTGTGCGTGTGATTCTCAGGCTGTGAATGGCGGCGAGTCTTAGAACAAGGAGGAACGAAAGCGTCGTTGGCTGACCTTGGTCCTCAGCTACTTTGGGAATTGTCGAAAGTATTCTCCTGCATATGAATATTGATAATTGTCCCATTGATCGGTGTTCACTGACTGCTGTTTCCCTTTCCCTTCCGTCAGATTCGCCATTTATCCGTGTGTTTAGATAACCGGGCAGGCTGGATTCCAAAGCGCAGCAGATCTTTTCTTATTATATGAACCAAAGTATATCTCGCTTCTTTGTTGGCCGTTGTTCGGTGTCATGGACAGTTGTCTTCTTCCAGTCAACGGCAGGACAACATGTTTGCAAATTGGAACAGCATTATGACGCCTGCGAAACCGGCTGTTTTTGACCGTCTTAGTCACGCGAAGCCATTCATCTCTGAAGCCAGCTAAGAAAGTCATTCATCAGTCTCGTTCGGAATCTTCATTCCATCATGTTTACGAGTCTAAATCTTTTTCTCAGATGGCAGAGGCATGAAGAAATCATTTAAAGTGAATGCGGGCATTGATAGCTGATCGTTACTTTAAGCTTTATATAATATCAGGTTTATTTTTTCCACGGCATCAATCTGTGGTGATTGACTTTTTGACGGATTTGTCGAAACACGTTATTATACTCTGCCAGAACTAAAACTGGTTGTAATCACCAACTTGACTGCTTTGTTATTATTCGTACATGCACCGTAGGTGCCATATTGCTGTCAAGAACAGAGGACTGTACTGCAGCAGAGGAACAGTGCGATATGTCAATCCTTGTTAAAGTGACAGATTTCTGTTTCACAGCATCAGTCGTGGCTCCTGATCGAATGCAATAGAATTTACCAATGGTTCCGACGGTCGATTGATTGCACTTTTCGCCATTGGTATGTTTCACAAAAACACGAAACTGCCAAAGGCCGTACTGAAACAATTTTCCTTGATGACATGACAAATCCGTCAGATCGGATCCCGAGTGTCTGCGCGATGCCGCCGTCGCCATCGACTCACCGTTTGCTTACTCATCGCACGTACAGTCGTCTCGAAGAGGTGCATGTGTTGTTGGACGGCGGCGAAGACTTCGTCGCTGAAACGGGTGGCTGGCATACTTTGTACAGCGTGAGTTAGATCCAGGGATAGAAAGTCGATCCTGGCTCGTCATGGCAAGTAGTAAACGAACAAAATAGTATTCAGATGGATGTGGCGCGGCGGTTGTCAACGTTGAACGCTGAGGGTCGATCTGAGAAGCACTTGATGGATTACGAAGCACAAAGAAATGATCGAAGCAACAGCTGACGCCGTGGCGGACGGTGTAGTCATAATGAGAAGAGAAATTAATTAGTCAGTTGAAGAGG